AAATGACCATAATATTTACGTTTTAATAAAATTTAAATATTTATAATATTTTGAAATTTCTTAAAAGTTTCAATAAAATAAGGAACCGGAGTAAACCGGATAACAATTTTAGTTTTGGACGTCTGATAAATCAAGCTTCTTTCTCATTTGTATTCAGAATCATTTGGTCCTTTTATAGTATGACTCTGAACCATTGCCCAAATTTTTAAGCAATGTGGGACATTGAATACATATTTTTGCTTCATCGATTGAGTAATATGTCCGTTTTTTAAATTTTGAATCTTATTATATGCAAAAAAAAATATTATTTTATTAATTATATGTATTTTACATAAATTCGAAATAAATTAAATATAAGATCATATAAAAGTGAAAGAAGAATCATATATTAATGTTTAAATTAGGTAGAGAAGTTTTAGGAAATTAGCAATTAATCAAATTTAGAAACAAAATCAATTTGTTACCATATTTAGAAGCCACAATTTCTAAAAAATTGTTTCGAACATAATTTGTAATATTAATTAATAGATAAACATTTATAACAATGACATTCTCTTGTAAATAAGTGCCAACTCAAAGATTTATTTCATATTTGTACTTCGAAAATGTATATATAGATTCAAATTGAAATGGAACAATGAAAGATGTACGTATACATTTTTATAAGATCATTGCCATTCTATTTTCTTAAAAAGATTTTACTTAAAAACTTAAAATTCATTCTCAACATGTTCTATAACGCATATATCACTAAATCAAGTATTCTTTTAATGTTGTCTTTTTCTACATTTTACCTTATTTCCCACAAATTTATATTAAATAATTAACAACAAATTATCTTATAGTAGTTTATTTTAAAATATTATTTCATATTTAATTTAACTATAAATCATTACATAAATGAATACTATTCGAGAAGCAAAATGTAATAAAATTATTAAAATGACATTATAAATTGAGGAATTGTTAGAAATGCTTTTTTCCAATACCTCTTTTCAAAAATACAACCTAGGTAAAAGTTTTTTAAAATTTCCTTAAAAATCTAAGATTTACCTAAGTACGTATGTAACATTATAAAAGCATACAAAACTACATGTATATGCATAAATACATGATTAAAACTTATACATACCTTATAAAATCCTATACATATCTTATAAAATCTTATAAATATGTTATATAAACTAGTGATTGACCCGCGGTACACCGCGGGACGATATTTTATAACAAAAAAATGAAATTTTAAGTTGTATTTGTTTTGTTAATATTATTTGTTTTGTTTAGTGTTTAAGATTGTATAAGTGTATTTTGATTGTTAATTATAAGATTTCACCCGTAGTATACCATCCCGTATTAATATTGACCATAATCCATCCCAACATATAACCCCGTCCCGTGAAATTAAACATTATTTTGTCATTTTCTTATAAAGTTCCAATATATATAATATTTTATCGATCCAAACTTCATAATTGTATTTTGATTGTTATATCTAGGATTTCATCCGTAGTATAACGTCCCGTATTAATATCTTTTTATAAATATTTATAATGTTTAAACTTCTTATAAATTCATATAAAGTTTTATAATATTTGAAACTTCATACAAAATTTAATATTATAAATATTTAAAAATGTTTTATAAAGTTTAACTTTTTAAAAAGCTTACATAATTACAATATTTAAATTTTAATAAATTTTAAATATTTATAATATTTTGAATTTGTATATATAACATTAACAAAAAAATATTATTTCGTATTAAATATGTATGATTACATTTTTGGATTGTTAGATTTAATCCTTAAAACATATGTATTTTAGTAACTCAATTACACATTTAGATATTGACCCGTGGGACAATTTTGACTTTTTAATTTTGTTCTTCATAAATTTATGATTTTCGTAGTATATAAAACTAATTGGTGGTGTATGGTTTTTGATAATTTTAGCTCTTATAGTTAAATGTAGTATTATTTATATTCATATGTATGACAAAATATTTCTTAAAGTAAATAAAAGGATTTGTAAAATTATTCACAAACCAAAAATTCAGCCCATTTTCTTGGATACGGGATCTTTGTTTAAACTGAAAATTATACATCTTTTTTTTTCTTTTGATTTTTTGAACTTTTTATTAAAGTAAAAAAAATATTTGTAAAATAATTCACAAACCAAAAATTCAGCCCGTTTCTATGGAACAATAAAAAGATTACACCAATTCCAAATCAATTTTTTCAAAAGTGTTTAGTATCTCCGATCAATAAGAATAAAGCAAGAACCTATACAAATTTTTTCGTCTACAAAAAAGAAGAAGAAGACAAATATTTAAAATCCAAAAAACAAAGATACCAATCAATTCTTAGTGCTTAGTTTTGTTATACATCCAAGCTACAAACGCCACATTAAAAAAAAAAAAAAAAACTTTCAATTCCCACATAAACCCTAATGAGACATTAACCAAAAAGAAGAGAAAGAGCGCCATTAACGTTACCGTTGATGCTGGTCTCGATTTCTAGGGCGGTCCATCCAAGTAATAAATCTGACCGCAAACCATCATCGCCGGTGCCACCGTACTTGAGTGGTCGACTTTGAAATCAGACCGATTGTGAGCCGTAATACTTCACGTCTTTCCTTTCTACAAACCTGCTTGTGTGTATGCAAATCCATCCTGCAATCATACGTAAATGTAAACAACATTAATATTTTTATAAAAATCGAGCCATAAATAAATTACAGAAGAAAAAAAAAAGGGGTTAGTTGTGATCTAAAAGTGACTACCAAGCAAGGTATTTATACAACAAAAAAGGAAGATTTATATATTTTTTAAGAAGCGAATCTTTATCATAACAATTAATATTTTAAAATTATCTTATTCAATAATTTTAGATTTACTACTATATTTAACATTGTTTAGATTCACCGTCATTATCGTCATAAAATATTAAAAATAATAATTTATTAGAGATATGAATCAGATTTAAAGAATATACGTAAGATTGTTTTGATATTTTTTGACAATATCTACTAATCAAAAAAGGAAAATTTACTTTTTAACTCATAATTATCACAAACGATTGGTTGAGAAAGAAAAAAAAAAGAAAAAAAAAAAGAAAAAAAAAAAAGAAAAGAAAAACAGAAAAAAAAAAAAAACGGAAAAAAAAGGAAAAAAAAAAGAAGAGAGGAAGACACACGACCATTCTCCGTCTCCTTCTACGACATCCCACGTTTTTCATTACGATCAATAGAGATTAATACACTTTCATCGAGTCTATATTCATTACTCGTGCATGATCCAATCAGATTAATCCAAGGTAATTTTAAAGAACACCCTCTTTTATTAGCTCGAACTGTATGATACAGGATAACATCAATAATTCAATATGATATTTAGAAGACTTGGCATGGGCAAGATATTAAGAGTCGACTTTCCATCATGTCAGATTCGATCAAAAGGTGATGTTCTATCATTAAATTGTCAATTCTCTTTTGCTATATGTTATATTTTAGGTTTTCAAGTCCAGTATCTATATTAAAAATTTTACATGCGATGAAGAACATGTTGAGGTACGATGAAATGCTTCTAAAGTGGTACGTAAATTACAATCGATCCATTTTTTTTTTAGGTTTTCTTATTTTTCGTGTTTACGAATATTTTAATTTTAAAAAATGTAAAACATATCAAATATTCATATATTAGGGTTAGTTATGTATATTTAGATGCCTAAACGATTTTATTGTTTTATTAGTTTCCATTTGTTAGATATTCTTAATATATGTTTAATAGCATTATCAAGCAATGGTAATTAAGATTTGATTACGATTAGGTTTTGGTTAGTAGTTAATATTTAGTAGATATGACCGAGATTATGATAATTAATAGTTTTAATTTTGAATATTTGAATTCCATATGTTAAGATCTCAAATCTCGTAATCATAAAAATAGGAATTGTTTGTGGACTTTATTTATTGTTTTGTAAATTTGATTAAGACATATATTTTTTCCAGATTTTATTTGTAGGGACTAAATGTACAATATTGAAATTGTAAAAGGATTTTTGAGGCCAAATCTTCACCAAAAATGTATATATAGATACGTTATAAAACCTTATAAATACTTAGATCGAGGCTTGAGTAATACTTACCATCCAGAAGTACCTCATAAACCTTTTCAGGTTTAATGAGACGTATTTTTGAAAATACATAAAAGAATGGGATATTTTTTAAAAATGGCACACCAAAAAGTGCATTTTCAAAAATAAAATATAATAATAAGGTCTTGCAATTATAAAGTGAAGGGATAATGATGAAAAAAAAAAAACAAAGACAAAATATAGGATTTTGTTTTTGAGCATTTAAAGACAAAGAAAAAGGACAACATATCGTGAAAAAGAAGTTAAAAACTTCATGACGAGCTCATTTTTAAATTAGAATTAATGGCCAAACCATATCTACACTTTTGTTATAGAAAAAAGGAGGAGATGGTGATAGAGTTGAAGGATAAAATCTAATATTTGAGATTATGATCACTGATTTTTTCGTTGGAAGATGGGTATTTTTTTTCCAAAAAACGTTTACTTTTTATTCTTTGTTGACCTTTTTCCTTCAGAAAAAGTTTATTACATACTAATTTTTACATTCGAAATAAATTTCATAATGTATATGTCAATACTTTCTATTTTTAGCCACTCTATACATACTTTACCTTTCTTTATAACAAAATTCTTAAACTGATAACAAAAGGAATAACTAAAGTATTAAACAAATTCATGTATAATTATTTGGAAGAACATCAAAACCTATTATTGTATTATTTATTTTGCAATTATATTTTTAATCAGTATCCCACGCATCGCGTGGGTTTCTCTCTAGTATTATATACATGATAGTCCAAAGGAAAGGATTTTCTATGGGCTAGATATATTCATTGAGGAGGCCCATCAAGGTATACAACTAGGTGCGTAGTATAAAAAGAGAAGAAGGTCGAAGCGAAGAATATTCTTGACCTTAATCGCTCTCTCCGCGTGGATCTTCAAATAGTTGCTTGGAGTTGAGTTAAATTGTTCTGAACCTCGAAATCCTAAATTCGATGGGGACTCCGGAATTTCCAGATCTGGGGAAACACTGCTCCGTCGATGTTTGCAAGCAGATCGATTTCATGCCCTTCACATGCGATCGTTGCTTCCAGGTCTCTTTCTCTTTCTCCTTGGCTTTTGTGACATCTAAATCTGTGGGGAATTTTATGATTTAAAACAGGAAATTCAGGAATTTATCTATCTCTTTTTGTTCAAATTCAGATACTTGATATACTTCTGTCGTAAATGATCAGTAGATGTTTGAAAATATTCATTTGTTTCTTCTGAATCAATCACTATACGGAGGAATTTTATCTATCTTTTGCAGGTGCTTTGTCTGGATCATCGAAGCTATATGAAACACGACTGTCCAAGAGATGTCACTGTGGTTAATACAGGAGAAGAAGATTCAAACGCAAATTGGGATAAACATGTTAATAATACAGACTGTGATCCCTCGAAGAAGAAACCTTGTCCTGTTCCAAGGTGCAGAGAACTCTTGACGTTCTCTTACACTGTAAAATGTCGAGACTGCTGCATCGATCATTGCTTGAAACATCGGTTTGGACCTGATCATACTTGTTCTGGACCCTGCAAGCAACCTGATTCCTGTTTCTCGAGTACAAACCCAACAGTAGCTGCTACAAGCACTCCTGCATCATCGTCAAGATCGCCTGCTAGTTTTTTCGCTTCTCTGGAAGCACGTTTAAGAAAGACAAGACGGACTCGGACAAGATTGAATTCGACCAGGGAAGGTAGAGTGGGAAACCCTCCCCTATGGATGGTCAGGGAAGGAGTGGATGGTGTGGTCAGGGAACTGAGAGGACAGATGATTCAGGAAGAAGAAGAAAATGTTGAATGGGAAGAAGAATAAGCTCCTGTTTCAGGTCATTTTGATTTTACTCTTACGAGGAGACCTTGTTTAGGTTCTTTAAGTATAAAACCGATAAAGAGCGTTTGCATTTCTTCCAAATAAAAGAAAAAGGACAATTCTCTTTGAATGCATTAAAATTACAGAGCTTAAAGAAGAAGATACTTGTTAAGACATGCTCATAGTTTTAACTATATTAGTGGGCCATAAACGATAAAGAAAAGAGTTTAGGTCTCATCATATATAAAGATTTATATGTGATATGCTTAACTTAGGTTGCTTTTCATCGGAAACTACATGAACATGCTTGCAAGCATATCTGAGAAGAACCCAATCAATAAATTTTATTTTATTCTGTTTGTATCTTAAAGAAAAACTAATTATGATATATTATTAAGAAAAATGTATACATTGCTTTGGAACATCCTTATATTTATTATTTATTTCACGTTCTCAAAATTTCAAAACGGTGATTTATAGATATTGTACTCGGACAATTAGTCTATGGCTCTTTTTATCTCAGGAAGTTTTCGTTTTTGTCGTGTTGTATGATTTGAGGATATTATACAATTGACCTCCTCTATATGTTCGTTGAAGCTACTCCTTTTAGTTTACAAGACTAATAGGGTTTCTTCTGTGGTCTTTTCTTTCATCTGTTGTTGTAAGGATTACTCCTTGTAGGGATGCCAAGTTTTAGATTTAGACTCTTTGGAAGAAGATTAATTGTGTAGGAGTTAGATTTTTGTTTAGCCCATGATGATATACGTATTTGTGATCGGCTTGCTCATTTGGCTTCCTCTAGATATATATATCTAAAATGGTGGTTAGGTTTGTTCAGATGCAGAAACCACCCAATTTGGAGGTATTACAAACGCACTTTGTTCTTTGCACTCACTCAAGAGATTCTTTTAGTGTGATTCTAACGATTTTATTCATAAAGTTTTGTGTGTTAATAAGAAAAATGTTTAATATGTTTTAGAAATCTACAATAGCATTTAATGATCTTAAAATCCTACAATTATTTTTGAGGTTGGTCATTCATTGAGAACATCATCGCATCATTCATAGCTTACGTGGTAGAAATTATGGTCAATTGCAAATTTTTGCAAGAATGTTGCATACATTTAATGTTGCCTGGTTTCTTGACCAGATTCCAGTTAACATTGTCCACGTTCATTCATCTTACTCTCCTCACTTTTTTCGTCTACCTTTCAGCTTTTGATCTCTTTTATGTGGTAGGTATCTCCTAAATATATTTATTTAGTAACATATACACCGGAGCTTTTATTGGACCTAAAGTATGACACCATTTCAACTAAATAAATATGAGTGGTTTAGATTTTAGATAATTCCGCCTTTAAGAACATTCGATCACCGTTATAGACTTTTTTTCTCCTTACTGGTATAGACTTACATGATAACTATTTCTTAAATGAGAAGTAGATTGTAAGAAATGGACATCCGTAAAATAGGGATAAAAATTAAAATTCTAAATTTACTCTTACCATCTCAATTAATTATTATTTTTTGATGATGTGTTATTAATTTTATAATTTTGGATAAAAATTAATTTTATTAATATTTTATTTTATTTTTTCTCGAAATTTATAATATCATTTTATTATAATTATTTTATTTCAAAATTCAACATAAAATTAAGAGAAAATTAAAAAATTTAAAATAGTCATTTTTACAATTTTATTCCATCGTCGTAATATCAAAAAAACGTTTTCTCTTGGGATTCAATCTTCGATTCTAAATTTCCTCGATTAATCACTACGATAATCGCCAGTAAACAATCTCCATCACACTCTTTTGCCAACATCAAATTTGATAACCGTTCACGATCTCCTTTTGATACTCTCCACAATTTTAATCGCCATTAAAATTAATTTGATTTCATTCGTCGTAATGGATATGATATCAACGAGCATTGATATGAACTTCTTCTTCGTCGTGAGAAACTCTCTATTCGAATTTAAATAATTCACGAATAAAACTATTTTCGATAAAATCTCAATCCAAATCTCATTGTCTTTCTCAAGATCTATTTCATATACTTTTAAATAATTAAGTTATTAATATATTTTTTGCAAACAATAAACCTAAGACCAAAATCATCTCTAAAGTTGTTTAGCTAATTGTTTCCCACTTAATTAATTATAGGGAGAATAACTAGAATGACCGATATATGGACGTTAATAACTAAAATGACTCATATCTTTTAATAATAACTAGAGTGTTTTCAGTTTTTTTAACCCCTAAAATACCTCCCTAAAGCTTTGTACAAAAAATCAGAATTAAAAAAATGTCATTTTAAAAAAAATGCCAACGAGGCAAAAGTTTACCAAAAAATCCGAATAAATCTGTTTGTTATAAGTATGGATGTCCTATCAAAGATGCTTGATAAGGCAGCATGAGCGAGAGAATTCGGCTACCAACCTTGATGTAAAACCCTTGGCTTAACACATCTCTGTTTCGCAGATGACCTCATGATTCTTACAGGCGGCAAAATTTGTTCCGTTGATGGTATTGTCAAGGTTATGAACTTTTTCGCAAAAAAAATTAGGGTTGAAAATTAGTATGAAGAAGACAACTTTGTACTTGGCTGGAGTCTCAGATCACTCTCGTTAGTTGATGTCAAGTAGGTACACATTCGTGTTGGGGCAGCTTCCAGTCTGATATCTAGGCCTCCCCTAATCTATATTTCTCTATATAGTAATAAATAACCCGCCCCTTATCTATAAGATAACAAACCAACTCCTAACTTTTTTTTTGTCAAAGTGTTTTCATTTCTTCTTAACATATTTAGGATCATATGTGGAAACAAATATGTACATTGGGCTTTGCCCTTGTAGATGATAACATAATTTAAAGACATAAACTAAAAACAGAAATAAAACACACAAAGAAGGTCCAAACCAAAATAGGGTAACATGTCCAACAACAAGAGAGATGCCCATAGTCCTAGAAGAGCAAAACGGCCCACCAAGCCCATAAACCACACCAGAGCTAAAACTAGGGTTTACCAAATCTGCAGCTTCCGGTGCCGTCAGAGAAACTGGTATACGCGCTCGACAGATCCATGCCTAGATCCGTCGAGTCCCTACCCGGAGATCCGAGCGACCAGAGCCCTAACACCAAGAAACACGCAACACCGAGAAACCCCTTTTGACAAAACACCTTCGGAGGAAGCTGAAACACCTGGAGATTCCGACCAACTCACGCCGGAAAACTAGCAGGGACCAACTACTCGCAACACCAAATACATTGCATCGCCGTGACCAAAACGAAGATCTTTTGCCTTGCCTCACCTGAACTTCGACGGACCGTTCCTCTGAGAAGTTGTGTTGCCGTCCTTGGGGAAACATTGTCGTCTCAGAGATGAAACCTACCGGAGGTTAACAAAGACGAGGAACACCAGATCTACGCTAGTCGTCCAACATTGTGCGCCCTCGCACCACCGCCACCACACCGCATAACTTAAGAGAAAAGCAAACAAACACCAATCGTGAATCTCACGAAGGAGAGGCACACCTGAAACTTCAGGGAGGACCGGGACCGCCATCATCAAGCAGTCCACCGCCTCACAATCTAAAGCTCCGATTGCTGGATCCATGAAGCTCTTCTCACTGCCACCACTGTAGAATGCTACAGGGAGGACTCGAGATGAAGAAGTTGAGGGAGAAAACATCAAAAGCTTCGGATCTCCTTCGGAGAACTTGATTGAAGAACATATAGCCAATATACAATGGAGGGGAGCCCTCTCCGGTCACCAGCGAGAAGCACGGTGAAAGGAGAGGCTTTGCATCTAAAAAAAAAAATTAACGCGTTTTAAAAGAAATAAATCTAAATTTTTAGAATCATAATAATCATATATATGAAAGGAGGCTATCTCTCTCCATCTTTCCGCCATGTCAGCATTTTTGGCTCTTCTGGAGATGACACATCAGCTTTTTATTCGTCCAATCAAAACATTTCATTAATACACATCAGGTTCTAATTATAAGTGTCAAATGGAGTAAACAAAATAGCCCATGACGGATGGGCCATATGTGTTTTAGAATCTATTAGAGTGCAATATTAATGGGTCGAGCCCATTTTACTGATGGCTTAATGCTTCTAAACCCAACAAATATTCTAATTGCCCACAAGACTTTAACAAAATAAATCTCTCCCACTCTCTGCTCGATCGTTCAATATGAAAGAAGAAGAATCTCAACGCAAATTTCTCGACTTCGTAAATTCCAACCTTCATAGTCTCCCTTTCTGTACATCATATTTCTTTAGAACAAACGTTTTCTACCTTCTAACTGCCAGAATGGAGGCCACGGTAGAAGTTACACAAAAACATATTCACACTCTCAGCTTATGGGATTACAAACTTTCACTACTATAAACTTTATAAATACTCAAACAGACATTGTTTATACCGGATTATATGTGTTTCAGACAGCATCAGTAAATGTTTACCAAGGTGCAAGGAACATAAAAACGATACAGAACCACCATCATGTACAACCTACACGGGAATTACAAAATGAAAACATCAGATACAACTCAAGTTGACAATATCGATATACACAACATTGAATAGCTACTCACCTGAATTATCACTGAGGTGGTGGTATTTAGAACAACTGTCAAAACACAAATACTCTATAGCGTCCTTTTCAGTATCGTTTCATACTCCCTTTCAACTTTTCCTATCAATATTCAAAGCAAAAGTAATTCAGATCTAAAAACCAAGAATCACCTGTATGACATACTCAAGCAACAAAACAAGCCTCCTTCTGAACAACTAAACGCATTTACGATTACCAATCTATCCGGTTTAAGGCTTCCATATGACTTCAAAACAAGCCTTCTCAGCATTTTCGTTCTTCTTCGTTCCTGCTTTAGGTCTGTATACTGCAGTTAGAACTTTTGTATCCCCGGAAAATATAAACGAGAGAGTTCAATGAAAGCGATTCAAAAAGGATAAAAAAACTTTGTACCCATAATAGATATTGAGAAAGATGATAAAGTACCTTCTGGCCAACTAGCAGAGCCATGAGGACGATGAAGGATATTACGGGAACAAGCAAGAGGTCTCAGCTAACAAGTAAGACTTTTTTCCGGGTTATATTTCAAGTCAAAAAATAGATCTAATCTTAAAAATTGTAACTACATAAGATAGATTTAGTTTTATTAACTACATAATAACAAATAAAAAACAAACTTAAATTAGCAAAAACAATCAATAATTTTTTCTTCACAATTTTCAAAACAAACCCACGCGTAGCGTGGGATTCATCTAGTAAAGTAATAAAAATTAACAAAAAGTTATGATATCTACCATATATGTCTTGCTTCTTCTATGATCGCATGTTCATGATATTGAATATTCTTAGTTCTTATTCTCGGTAAGTTCATGTGTGGTAAACATGTACGAGGCTAAAACTTTTATTCAAAATATCAATTATAAACAAGTCCTGGACTCATGGGATTATCATAATGGAGTTTAGAGCAACCCCAATGGTTGGTCCCTCAATGGGGATTTTTCAGATTTTTTAATCTTAAATTTTGGGAATTTAAAGTTTAAGAGTTTTTGTTGGTCCTTTAATTTTTTCTTGATTCAATGGTAGAGTCTCTAAGTGGGTTTCTTAAAAAGAAAAAATTATTATTAAAATAAATAAAAAATGTAAATCTTTTATTTCATAAAATTTTAATAATTAATACAAATACTAAAATTTTAAACATACAAGACAGAAATATTGAAAATCGGAATAACGATTAGTAGTTAGCTTTATTCCCGTCAAATTTGTGCCATATATGCTCAACCGGATCGACAAACCGTTGAACACAATCACCATCGGAATAACCGAGGAAGAGAAAAAAGCGAAATCGCGAAAATGAAACTAAACACAGAAAATTTTTTGGTTTTTTTTTACTTCACGGACCAATTAAAAAACGCCATGTATGGGTCTCTTCCCACTTCGAAAATCCCTAAGCTTAAGGACGTCCCTTAACAATATTGCTATTTTTTATTTATTTTTGGCTTTTTCTTAAAAGACTCATACGTTTAGAGCCCCTTAAGATGCCACCATTGGAGGTGGTCTTATACGGCAATGAATCATCATTATTCATTATAGCATTCGTTGGAACATCATTGTAACGTCTATATACGGTTGTAGGGTCACTAATTATTAATGAGACGATTTATGTCTATTTGTTATATTTCCTACTGTGATAAATTGATGAGAATCAAAACAAAAATTACTACGACAGTTGGTGTAGATGAGTCACAGTGGCGGATCTAGGAAAATTGTTTGATGGTGTCAAACTTACAAATAAGTTGAGTTCTAATAATTGGGTTGGGTTCAAGCTTCATAATTAAACTGATATATATTAAAATTTTAATGTAATTAAAACGTTTTTAAAATTTTAATGGTGTCAAATGCACCCACAATCATTAACGTGCCTCCGCCACTCGATGAGAGTGTAGAATAACTCGTCTGAGAGAGACTGAGACGACTAACAATAATCTGTTACAGAAATACTTATATTGTTAAATAAGCATAGTTTTCAATATTATTGACATACAAAAATCTAAATATTATGATTATCTTGTATATGATGTTGAACCTTCTACGGTCAGGTTTTCTTAATTTCGGTTTGCTTTATGCTTGTAATCTCTGTCATCTCGTAGCATGGTTGACCTTCTAACACGATGGATCCCTCAACAAATGTTAAACAAAACCAAAATCGTTATTTAGTAAATTTTACGAGTTTTGTCTTTATCCTAATTCTATCTCAAATGAATCAATCTGTCCATGCAAGTATCTTTGTTGTGGCAATAGCTTTATCAGATGATTATCATTTATATTTTATTTTTTAACATCAACTTTCAGAAGACTTTCAAAATCATTGTCATGGAGTTGTTTCTTAGGATTGGCGAAATCTTCGGATGAGTAAACATGCATCATGAAAAATATAATTAAAATTACTTATAGATAATTTCACAATTGCCCCTGAAACAAGAAAGACTGAGAATGTGAAGAAGACATATGGAAGAAGTAAAAAAAAAAAGGGAAAAAACCTGAAAAATACCCCATCTATTTTTAATTTGGACGTTTAATACCTAAATTTTTTTTGTTGGAAGAAAAATACCTTCTTTAATTATAATTGGTCGAAAAATACTTTATCTTTATATTATTGGTAAATTCAAACCTCTGATTTAACGGTCGTTAACGGACGTTACGGTATCAGTAAACGACGTTATATTATAACAAAACAAATAGCCGAAAAATGCTTCATCTATTTATTTTTGGATTTTTAATACCCAAACTTTTTGGTTGGAAGAAAAATACCTCATTTAAATATTTTTGTCTAAAAATACCTCATTTTTGAATTGTTAGTATATACAATATTTATACAAACTTTTACAAATATATTGCTTGATCTAATGGTAACACGTATGATTTTTAACCCGCATATAACTTCTTTTGATCTCCTATTTTCTTTAATGAATGACATACAAATTTAAATACATCATTTGCTTCACTCCTACAAATTTAAATACATCATTTTTTCATTCCTAAAGACATCGTTGGAGTTAGAAGGGTTTTTGTGATAGTGATTTTGATGATGGAATGTAACGATTCTGCAACTAACAAATGAGAGATTGTGACAAAGATGACGACGACGATAGATTTTTCATTTTTGTGGTCGTGGAGTAGCATAGTTGCGGAAGTGGAGAAGAATTTAGGTAAAAGTGGAGAGATGAAAGAAATAGTTCGAGAAAGATTGAGTTTTGATCGTATTAACGAAGTAATATTGAGTTTTGATCACACCAATATATTTGTAAAATTTTGAAAATAAATTGTATATATCTATTTATATACACAGGGTTAATATTTAACGTCGTTAAATGTTTCTGTAATATTATTAACGATTGTTAAGTCGCAGACTTGAATCCACTAATAATTTAAAATGAAGTATTTTTAGACAAAGATATTTTATATGAGGTATTTTTCTTCTAACCAAAAAGTTGGGTTATTAAAATTCCAAAAATAAATAGATTGGGTATTTTTCGGCTATTTTTCTGTTATAATTTAACGTCGTTTACTATATCGTTACGTCCGTTAACGACCGTTAAATCAGAGGTTTTAATCTACCAACAATTTAAAGATAAGATATTTTTCGACAAATTATAATTAAAGAAGGTATTTTTCTTCCAACAAAAAAAAGTTAGGTATTAAACGTCCAAATAAAAAATAGATGAGGTATTTTTCGGGTTTTTTTCCAAAAAAAAAAAGGTAAATACAAAAAACAATAAAAAGAACGAACAACAATGTCTCTTTTACCTCGAGAGTGATTATTTTTATACACCGAGACACGCATCTATTCTGAAACGTAATTATTTATTACTACCTGCAAGATAATATAATTTTGTTTGTTCAGAACGCAAAAATCTGAGTGAGAAAAGAAAACCACATAATTTTGAAACTATTCTGAAACATAATTATTTATTACTTTATTTATGCCTTTTTGTTGTTTATCATATTTAATTTCTTTTATTATTTTGTACTTATGTTTTCTATTTTGGGTAAACCATTGTAACACTCGCTAGTCTATCAATTATTAAATTTTGACAACCGTACCTACTTTAACCGTTAAACAATAGTTCAAAACGTTGATAACGCTTTAAAACTGTAACCGCTTGTTTTCACAAACTTTGGATTTGTTTCTGCAACCGATGAGTTTAATTAGTTAGACCATAACACACA